GGGGGGGACTTTAACTCCCAGAATCCCTCAGCCAACAGTGTCCTGGCCAAACAAGTAGTGTTCCCAAACTGTATTTTGAGGTCTGCTGTATATCTGATATGAGGATTTTGGAGAGAGTTCTTTCAAACCTCTGTCAGGCAGACTTGATTGATCTCTGAGAGCTAATCCACATTGCAAAACTAATGCAGTCTGACACCACTTTAACTATCATGGCTCCATCCTGTGGAATCCTAGGATTTGTAGTTTGGTGAAGTATTCAGCCTGGTGAGACAGAGAGCTTTAGTGCCTCACCTAAGTACAAATCCCAGGATTCTGTAGAATAGAGTCATGGCAGTTAAAGTGGTGTCAAACTGGATTATTTCTGCTGTGTGGATACACCTTTAGATGCAACCAGTTTTTCAGCATCCATCAAAGCTTATTCCACTTACCAGTGACAACCACAAGGTCATAGTAATTGCCCAATTCACACCAGTACCGGCCAGTATCATTGTTTGTTAGGTTGCGAAAGCGAAGGGCATAACTTTGAAGCACTTCAAGGCGATCCCAGGAGGCAGGGAGACGCTTTATCATGTGGCTGTTCTCCCGTTTGTAAAAGAGAGGCATCGTACTGCCTTGATGTTCAAAATACCAGGACACTGCTCTGGTAAGATCTCCAGAGCAGGATGAACATGGACACGGCAACTCCGGTGATGATCCTTTCTCTGCATAGATGGCTTTGCGGGAGAAAAGAATTAATTAGATCCTCATAGGTTAAAAGGCAGCTATAGGAATCATCAAAGCTTATTTAAAATAGGGACATGGAATGTGAGGAGCATGAGCCAAGGGAAGCTGGACATTGTAAAAATAGAAATGGAACACATGAACATAGCAGTACTGGGGGTGAATGAGTTAAAATGGACAGGAATGGGCCAATTTGAATCAAACAACCACACAGTGTTCTACTCAGGCAATGGAAAGACAAGACGAAATGGGGTGGCTTTCATACTAAGAAAAGATGTGGCAAAAGCAGTCACAGGCTGCAATGCAAAATCAGACAGAATCATTTCAATAAAGCTCCATGGTAAACCTATGAATATCACCATAATCCAAGTATATGCACCAAGCACAGAGGCAGAACAGGAAGAAATTGACAGATTCTATGAAGGAGTACAGGAAGAAATTGACAGCACACCAACACAAGATGACAAGCTGATCATTGGAGATTGGAACACAAAAGTTGGAAGCAAAGTAGTATCAAAAACAGTAGGCAGATTTGGATTAGGCATAAAAGAAAACGAAGCAGGTGAGCGTCTGATAGATTTTTGTGAAGCCAACCACCTATTTACTGCAAACACATTTTTCATACAACCAGAAAGAAGGCTACACACATGGACATCATCAGATGGTCAACACAAAAATCAAATAGATTATATAACTGGAAGTAAAAGATGGTGGAATTCTATACTGATAGCCAAGACTAGACCAGGTGCTGGCTGTGGCACAGATCATGAATTATTCATATCAAAAATAAAAGTCTCAAGAAGAAAACAAAACCAGTGATTATAACAAAATATGATCTAAATAATATCTCAACAGAATTTATTGATAATATAAGAAACAGATTTGCACTACTAAGCATAATAGACTGAGAACCAGAGGAACTATGGTCTGAAGCCAGGGACATAATAAAAGAAGAATGCAGACAGACACTTTCAATAAACAGAAAGAAAGACAAAAAACCATGTATGACAGGGGGAAAAAACACTATAAACAATAAAGAAAAGAGAAGAAAAACAAAAGGGAGATAGGAACAAACTAAGAATTATGAATGCAACAGTACCATGGCATGTGTGGAAAGATAAAGAAAATTACTACAACGACCAATGCAGAGAAACAGAAGACAACAACAAAAAGGGAAGAACAAGAGATCTATTTCACAAGATCCGGAAAATCAAAGGAAAATTCAAACCAAGGACTGGGAAGATCTATGACAATAACAATAACATAATTCAAGACCAGGAAGGAATAAAAAGACGTTGGATGCAATACACAGAATAATTATACAAAAGAGATGACAAAATGAAGTACTCATGGAATGAAGAGCCATATGAACTCAAATTTTAAAAAGTGAGGTGGAAACTGTAATAAGAGAAATAGTGAAACCCTCCCACCCCTTAAAAAATATTAAACAAAGAACGATTTAAAACAGACTGAATAACATAGATGACAAACAACATAACAATCATAATAACAGCAGGACAAAAAGGGAGAGGATGGATTAAGTCTAGGTCTAGGGGTGATTAACCAGCCATGCAATAATTAACTATTCTGTATTCCCCCTACCTCCTTTTCTGTCTTTAAAAGTAAAAGACTTGTATGATTCAGGGGTCAATTAAATTTGCCATGTTTCAGTGCAGTTGATAAGGATCAATTAAACTGTTCATACCAGATTGCAGCGGTCTCTGTCTGATTTCACTATAATCAGCCCTTTAAATGTTGTTGTTGTGCTGTAACTCCCGGTATTCCTCATCTTGCTGGATAAGACTGCTGGGTGCTACAGTCCAACAACACTTGGAGGGCCACATGATACCCACCCCTCTTAGAAGGCATAAGATGAAGGGTTGGAACATTTCCTTTTTGGTACTGGAACTCCCCCAAATGTCTCCACTGGCTATACTGGCTTAAAGATTTGAAGTTGGTTGCGGTACCAGTGTTCTCTGACAGAGAAGACTACCTATCTCAGGGAAGTAAAAAACCTAGAATTCCATAGCATTGAGCCAGGGCAGATAAACCAGTGTCAAACTGCATTACTTCTGCAGTACAGGGTGCAGCCTGAGAGTTGTAGTCCACTCTCTCATATGCTGAACCATGATATGCATTCTGTCTCCCTATTTGCTCAACTTGTATGCAGGAAACATAAGAATGGCAGGTTTAAACTCAGAAGGAGGAAGAGTAAAATAGGAAGAAGGAGATATGCAGATGACACCATAGTACTAGCTGAAAACATTACACACTTGGAACAATTACTATGGAAGATCAAAAATGAAAATGAAAAGGCAG